AGACGTGTGCTCTTCCGATCTGGCGTGTGAACAACAACTCACCAAAGTTTCATCACAATCGGATGAATGGTTTACGAACGCATACGGGACAAACAAACAAACAAACATTCATTTTTATATATATAGATTAGCACCAGAAATTGGCATCATCGATATTTACAATAATATTTTCAGTATTTATCATTATCATAATATTTTAATCATTTCATATTGATTAATGATTACTTAGATAATCATTATTCAACTTCAAAAAATTTCTGATTACAAAATTAATTAATAATCAAAATAGAAAATTTCTTGTTTTAATTATCAATTTTAATTGTCAATTTTCTTTTTTCGAGCGATCTGACATTGATTGAAACATGTAATGAATGAAAATTCTGCACACGTGTCATTGTTTATTTTACATTTTTTTAGTGCCAAAGACTGTCTTGGATACGTTTTGAAAGATTTCACAGCATGTGGTGTGCAGTGTGTCAGATGTGTTCCGTGTGCCAAACGTTACAAAAACTATATAGAGAAAAAATTAATGAGACCGACACCAATGCGCAGATTATTGGAACAAAAAAAATCTTGCGTATGCGATACAAAAACATGTATCAAAAAAATATTAAACTTCGGAAGAAGGTAAACATTGTAAAATATCCGTTACTGAATATATTCTGCACATTGTCAGGGAACATTATGCTTAGTAGCACTTATACTGCGTTATAGTTAAATTTTTTTTAATGCAGGTGCTACGATTAAAAAAGAAAGTAGAAAGAGTAAAAACCGAATGCGCTCGAGCAAGTACACAGGCAGAAGCAATATCAAAATTACCTATTAATAAACAATTGTCTATTCAAGCATGCTTTGCAGCATCTAAAGTAAAGAATATTAAAGGCATGAGATATACCACTTAGTGGGTGTATGAATGTTTATTGTTACGGATAAAAAGTAAAAAGACGTACAATCACCTCAGGAGTCACACATATTAACCTTACCATGTATAAATACACTAAATCGATACATTCAAGCGATAAAGGGTTGTTACGGTTTCCAGGAAAATACCTTTAAACTTTAAAAAAAAGAAGTGCAAAAATAGAGCCATCCGATATACATGGTACGTTAAGTCTGCTTAGTTGCTAACATCCTTCACATTATGTAATAAAATTCTGATGTAATGAAATTCTTGGACTGATTGTATTTTTACATATTTGTTACATATTTGTTACAGGTATTTTACTGTTAGACGAAATGAAAGTTTCCAAGACGCTCACTTTCAATCATAACAATCTTAAAGTTGAATGTTTTATGACCTTGAGGCAATATACTCCAAAATACCAGTTGAAAAAATAGGAAACCACGCACTGGTCTTTATGTTTCAACTTTTCAAAGGAAAATAGGTGCAAATTGGGATGTTTTCTTAGTTCAGGAAATGCATCTAAAATAGTCTTGCACCAACTTATTATGGAGTGTATCATTACATATCTCACGGAGAAATCAGGCTTCAAAGTTGACGCAGTTATATTAGATGATGCATCTTGGAATCGCTTCATGTGGGACAA